CTCCCCCTCTCCCCCTCTCCCCCTCTCCCTCTCTCCCTCTCTCTCACGGCAGCCCCCAGCGGTGTTTGTTCTCAGAGAGGCCCTGGGAAGAAGGATGGTCACTTTCCTTTTGCCCACAGATAATTGAAGAGAAGTAAGAAAGTACCTGTGTTTGAGGGAAAAATGACGACAATTAATCTCTAAGCACAGGGCCTCACTGTTAAATTCGTTGGAGAAACAACTTCAGGAGTTTAAAGACAATCGAGAGAATGAAATTTAATTAAGAGAAATAGTAATTAAATCAGGAAAGAAGTTTTTGCAAAGGGGATGGTGCAGGAAATTAAAACCAGTAATGCTGAAAAATGTGATGGGCAGAGATGGGCGGTGCACTTGGTGGAGAAGAGGAAAGAGCAGACTGAGCAAGGCGGGTTGGGAGGTGCAGAGTGTTTGGCACTAAGGCAAGGTCTTTGGAAATTGGTCTCCTTGAGAGACCAGGTGTCTGGCTCTTCCAATTTGGGTCTAAATAGGCCACCTCCTAATGGGGACAAGCTCTCCCTCAGGAAAATAGAAGTATCTAGTTGGATAAAGTATAAAAAAAGCTGCGGACTTGAAGTAGGGTGACCAGGTGTCCTGATTTTGCCCAGGACCGTCGCAGTTTTAGTACTCAGAGTGCCATGCTCTAGGAAACCCTCAGTCGAGGGCAAACTGGGACTGCTGGTCACCCTAACGTAGAGGCAGATAGCCCTGGTTCCCAGCTCTGCTGTGCAGTCAGGAGCTCCATGATTCTGAGTGAGTCACTCCATCTCTGTGGGCCTCAGCTTTCTCACCTATAAAATGAGCTGTCCTGGGCACCTCAAAAGATTAAAGAAGTTGCTATATGTCAATGTCTAGAACAATGTGCATGAAGAAAAGCTTGATAAATGGGAGTTGAACTGAACAATATCAATAAAGAAAACATAAAATATTAGCAGACACAACGCAACAACACATTAAAAAGCAAGACACCGTGACTCTTTGAGGGATTCCCCAAGACCACCCACGTGTTCGTTGAGTTTCTAGAATGACTCACAGGACTGAGCACATAGTTGTACTCACAGCATGGCTCAGGTTTATTACAGTAAAAGGATACAAAATAGGATCATGGAAGGAAAAAGACACAGGTGAGTTCTGGAGAAATCCATGCAGGCTTCCTATACTCTTTCCTTCCTGTGAGGGACACATCAAGAATGATCCTTTCTCTAGCAGCGAAGAATGCAACCATGTGTGCGATGTTTCTGCCCAGAAAGCCCATTAAAGACTCAGTGCCCAAAGATTTTATTGGCAGTGGTTGCCTAGGCACAACTACCAAAATTCCAGACTCTCAGAAGGAAAGCTCGTGTACAGGAGAAATCACATCATCAATCAGCCTTAAATGCCAAGTCTGCAGACCACCAGCCAGGGGCCAACCTCTAAAAATAGCAGTGTTCAGCCTGCTATGTTAACTCTTTTTATTACAGTGACAGAGTGGAGCTCATTCTAGGAATGCAAGGATAATACACATAAGTGAAAACTTGAATCTGGACACCCAAGCTGCTGTATATACCCTCAAATCCTAGCTAGGTGTGCCAGGCCTTCACTGGTCCAGGCTTATGGTTACTGTATGAATGCCATCCACTCTGCTAAACAAGCTCTGGTCACTACCAAATTCCCTGCTAATAATTTACCACCAACCAAGGTCTTCTTGGTCTTGAGTCAGAACACTGGGGTTTTCTCAGTTCACCATGACATAAACAAGTCTCTGGACTAAACAATCCAAATAGAAATCGTGCTCACCTTGTACATGAAATAGGCCATATTTACGTTTACATTAAGGCTATCCACTTCCAGTGACCCAAAATGCTTGTGTTTCCAATTTGGGGCACCACCTTTCTCAAGGTTAAGTTACCAGAGCAATGAATAAAAGTTTGCTGATTTCTTGCTCAGCAGGAGAGGTGTTAGAAAAATAGAAGTCATTCAAGCTAGTGGTGGGGAAGGGTTTCTGGAGTTTAGAGATCAAGAGGTACCACAGCTGCTGCAGGCGTGAGAGAACTAGGAAGACAGGAGGGAGGGTGGTGGTTAAAAACATCACTGAGAATTACGGACTAGCTTCCCCTTTAGTATGTATTGGTTTGCTAGGGCTGCCATAACAAATACCACAAACGGGGCAGCTTAAACGATAGAAACATATTGTCTCACAGTTCTGGAGGGTAGAAGTCCAAAGTCGAGGTGCTGACAGGTTTGGTTCCATCTGAAGGCTATGAGGGAAAGAGCCTGTTGCAGGCCTCTCTCCTTGGCTTGTAGATGGATGTCCTCAAGTTCACAAGGTGTTCTCCCTGTATGGCTGCCTGTGTCCAAACTTCTCCTTCTTAGAAGGATGCAGTTCATATCAGATTAGGGACTATGCTAATGTCTCAGTTTAACTTAATTACCTCTGTAAAGACCTCATCTCCAAATAAGGTCACATCCTGAGGTATTAGGGCTTAGGACTTCAATATATAAATTTTGGAGCACACAATTCAACCCATTGCAACTTGGGAAAATGTAAGTGAAAATCAGAATTACTTTTAAATAACTTTCATTGGAGGATTGTGTTTCTTTGCACAGTTTATTGTATTTGTACAAACAATAGCCCAGGAATATTCAAGCTGTGTAGAACAGAAGAGAGTAATGGGAGGGTAGAAGGGAGGGGGAGGGTCAAGGGAAGAGAAGAAAGAAGAAAACGAAAAGAAAAGGAGGAGGAGGGGAATGAGAAGGAGGAAAAGAGGAAGAGCAGTGAGCAAGGTCAGACCATCAGGCCTGCACCAGGTTCAGAGATCGGTGAGAATGACAGCTCACCACTCACCTAAATTTCCTTTAATTTCGGTTTACTAAACGCACCAACAAGAAGTGTAAAGGATATGCACACATCACTGCAAATGTTTGCTGGCCCCTCCCACCATCACTTGGGTCTCATAGAAGTGTTCGCAAGTCTGGTGGACCCGACAGCTCTCCCACAGTGGGACGTGTGCCGGCTAGAGCCTTTTACACCATCTGGATGGACAGACGTGGGGGAGTGCCAAGCCAGTATCTAATGGCCCACCCAGTAAGGGAATCCCTGCCAGCACAGTCGTGAAAGACTTGCAGCACCTTTCATGTTTTTACTGCCTCCTGGAGCTGACTGAAGGTTTCAGTGCAGCAAGGCTACCACAAAAGGAAATCTGACAAGAGTTTGTTTTGCTCATTCAGGCAGCACATGCTCTCTGAAAAGAGGTACTGCCTTGAGTCAAAGAGAACTGAAGGGAAAACCAGGGCTCTGCAGGCTCTCAGGGCCTTCCACTCCACTGCCAGCTGACCGTGCATACCACCAGGTCACAAATACACAAAATGCAAAGCCACGCAAGGCAGGTGGATTTCCCCAGATGCAGTGCAGAGACTTCAGAACAGATAGCACCATAGTTAAAGCTTCAAAGAGAAAGGGGGACAAAATTAACACACTTGTACCTGAGATGGGCCTGGAATAAACCCCACTGTGTGACTTGTGTTTTAGAGAGCTGGGACGCCCAGTCTGGGGCTAGCCAGATCTGCCATGGAGCAGAAGCAGATTATCCTGAGGTGATTCCAGTGCATGCTAAACTTTGAGAACCCCTGTTTAAATTTTACAGCCCAAACCAGTTTAGATAGGGCCCTGGGAGAATGAGCTTCCATTTTCTTCCCAGCAACTACTGTCTGTTAGAACAGCTTGAGACCATAGGGACAGGCAAGAACAGGATTTACCACCTGCATCGCCTATGACCAGCGTCGATAGGGAGGAAAACAAGTACTTCGCAGGGCTAATTTAACCCTCTTATGTGTAATTCAAGTTCTTCTCGTGTCTTCATTTGCTTTGTGAGGTACAGACTTCCAGCCCTTTACCCAAATGGAGTGATCTAGACTGTTTATGACTACACCTTTGATTTCTATTCAGTTAATTTGCATGTTTTATTTTATCTTTAGCATGGGAAGGAGACCTAGTTGCCAGAGCGGCCAGGAATAGTATTTAAAAGTTTAGCCTTTACTTTAACCCTGGTTGGTCAACTCGCTGTGTTCTTGGCTCACCTAACATTTGTGGTCACAAGAGTGCAAAACAGTGCAATTCTGCTGGCTGCTTCTCCCTATCTTGTCTCTCTGTCAAGTCTTAGGAACTCGTTGACTTTCTCCTAAATTTACTAACATTATTCATTTTATTTTTACTAGCTAACCTTGCTGCTTTTACTCCTCTCCCTTTCATTAACACTGCCCACTGAGCAAAGCCCATCACTTGGTTTACCTCGTTCCAGAGTCTAGCCTCCAGAGAGGTCTGCTGGCTTATGCAGAGGCCCCAAATAGGGCTCACAGTGCAGTTAGGAGGTGGAGCCCTGGCCTGGAAACAGGAAGCCTGGTTCTGGCCTCTGCTCTACTACAGACTTGCTGCACAATCTTGGGCAAGCCCCTCCTCTCTGGGGCCCCAGAACTCTGTTGTACAATGGGGAGAACACAGTGAACTCTCAGCCCTTCCAGCTAGAGTATCCCAGGGTTCCCCGGTCTTCCTCTGTTATACACGTGGCCATACAGTATAGATTTCCTGGAAGGTAGTTCCAGTTTTGCAATCCCTGGCACCGTTGCCCACACACCATGAGCATACTGGTTCTTAAACTGTGGTCCCAACTACTGATTTCACCAATAGTTGAGGGGCCCTTGAGGGGGGTCCCTGCCTGGTTTCTCCATAATCAACAGTTATGTAGGACTTGTAGCCCCACTAGCCCCAAGTGGGACTAGGATCCTAACATCCAAATGCCTAGCCTTTTAAAGCAATGAGTCACCTCACCAGGTCATTTCTAAAACCCCAGTAGAAAAGCATATCACACAGTAATCAGTGTTTGTTGAATGAGTAAACAACTACACTTTCTCTACAAACACAAGAGTTCCATAGACTGAACAAAGCTCAGGACTGAAATAGAGAAACCAATTCCTTCTGCGGAACCAAAACCTCAAACTGAAGCTATGTAATGTCTGGAGTACACCAAATGATGGCGCTTTTCTTGCAGTTGTGTTATTTTTAAAGCTCTGTGTGCAAGCTCTATTGTGACACCCTTCCCTAGCCCTCAACCCAAATACTTAATAATCCTATCTATGTGACTCCAGTGGGTAAGTCAGAGATCTGGAGTTAAATCCCAGCCCTTCCACTTACAAGCTGAGTGGTTTAAACTTCAGTTTCCTCTTGTGTAAAATGGGGCAAATAGTAAATTCCTCATTAGGTTGTTGATTTAACAAGAAACCTACATCTCCAAAATTACTGAGAATAAGCACGTGTTAACTCTTAGCTAATTAACAAAGCAACTCTTGGATCTTTCTTCTCATTTAGTCTTCCTATTTGGTGGGAACTATCATATCTATAGTCATTTACAGCTAAGGAAAATGAGACCCAAAAAACAGAGGTGAGACACCCATGATCTCACAACTGGTAAATGGCAGGGCCAGCAGTTGAACCCAGGTCAGAAACACTTCCAAGCCTGGAAGATGGGGTCGTAAGTGCAGTAAGTTTAGACCTCCTAGGAGAGTCAAACAAACTTGGTCCTGGGGGCTTCCCTGGTGGCGCAGTGGTTGAGAGTCCGCCTGCCGATGCAGGGGACATGGGTTCGCGCCCTGGTCCGGGAAGATCCCACATGCCGCGGAGTGGCTGGGCCCGTGAGCCATGGCCGCTGAGCCTGCGCGTCCGGAGCCTGTGCAAAACTTGGTCCTGGCCGGAACTCTCCTCCTGCAGCACTTGAGGGGAGGGGCAGTGCAGCTCTGGAGTTCCTGTGCATAGGAACACCACATACTGTACAGTATTTCCTGTTGAATGAAGCCAGCTTTGTAGACATTTTCATCCATTTTAACTTGATGCCAACATTTGCATTTCAGAAGGTTTTTTTCAATTCTTCCTATGAGGACATTAGCACCTGGAAAAAAAAGTGGAGTCTAGACTAGGACAGGTGTGAAAACAGAAGGTATATAACATGTTTCGCCTCTCCCAGGAATAGATCTTTTCTCGTCTACTCTTTTACTGGAATGTGTTCAAGGCACTGTTGGGCCCAGAGATCTTAGTCTTTCCATCCCTCACTAGCCTCAGGGACTCTTGGGCGCTTTCCCTAATATGGTTGTTCCCCGGTGACTTATAAGGCTCAGCTCAAGTTGCAGTTATAATGTAATTCACTTTCCCAGTTTTAATCACTTAGAGCTTCTATTCAGCATGTGTGGGCTGTGTCCATTCAGTAATGGCTAGATTTTAGCCCATAGTCAAGGGAGCTTGAGGATTCTTTGGGCCAAGGTAGCCTCAATGCAGGTCAAGGTCTAATTTGTTAAGTTTTTGAAATTACTATAAATGGCTCATGATCCCCTAGGAAACAACAGTCTAGGAATCCCTATTTAAAAAGAAAGGAACATAAAATGTGATACATACATAAGTGGAATATTATTCAGCCTTGAAAAGGAAGGAAATTCTGACATATGCTAAAACGTAGATGAATCTTGAGGACATTATGCTAAGTGGAATGAGTCAGTCACAAAAGGAAAAAATATTATATGATTCCACTCATATGAGGTACTTAGAAAGTCAAATTCATAGAGACAGAAAGTAGAATGGTGGTTGCCAGGGGCTGAGGGGAAGGGGGAGGGGGAGTAGAGTTACTATTTACTGGGCTTAGAATTTCAGTTTTGCAAGATGAAAAAGAGATCTGGAGATGGATAGTGGCGATGGCTGCACAAAAATCTGAATGTATTCAATACCACTGACTTGCACAGTTTAAAAACTGCCAACATGGTACTTTTTATGTTATGTGTATTTTACCACAATTTTTAAAAATTGGAAAAAAGAAAAAGAGAGAAAAAGGAACAGCTTGAACACTAAGACTCTCAGCTATGGTATTAGCATTGTCTCATCAGAGCCAAAAACAGCTACATAATAAATGTTGTACATTTTTATGCCCAACCCCCAATTTTCCTTCTGCTGAATGAAGCATCTTGCTCTGCCACTGAAAACTAGCATTTTCTTATAAATCACTAGCTCAGAAAAATCAGTGACTTTCAGCAATCAGTCCACTAGAGACCACTGCTAAGCAGAGGAGGCTAACAGCAGCACTGTGCAGTGAAGAGTGCTCCCCTTACAACCAAATGGCTCCCCCAAGCGGCTTCAGCTTCTCCCCCAAAGAAAAAGACCCCTCCTGCAGAGGAGCAGATTTCTTTTCCAAATTAAATGTGTAACTTTTAACTGTTATTAGTACTGTCAACAAGAATATCAGAAAAAAATTCTATTATAGATACTATCATCTTTAATTTCTTCCAAATGAAAATTGAGACTTTTTCCTCTGATTTCAAAATGAAGATACTTATTTCATGCAATAATCAATTCCCAAGATCAAAGGGAACCAGTTTTTCATCATTTTTTCCCCCAATAATTTGCCATCTGTTAGGATTTACAAGAGCACACTCACCCATATATTGCCCTAGGAAATCATTTTTAAAGATACATACTTTCACCACTTAAATTTGGCACTTTGGACCTAAAATTACTTTTCAGCCAGGATTTAAGAAAAACACTTATGAAACTGTTGTAGAAAATTTTTTTAATAGGCTTAGAGAAAGATGTTTTCCAAATTATTGATTTTTTTAAACTAATACACCTCTTCATCATTTTGTGATTCTGCTGGACAACTAGGGCGTTTTAAATGGATCTCAATCTTTAGAAATTGTGGCTTAGAGTCCTAGACTCCTGGAGTGCGCACCTTTGAGCTATTCTTGGTATTTCCTATGGTCTACCAAAAAGTGAATGCTCATACCCAGAAGGCAGCATAAGCTAAGTGAAACTTCAAACATTTTTATTTTTGGTTGGAATTATATCAACTCAGTTTAGAAATGGTATCTCACACTGATTATTAAGGTCTTTAATTTCCAAAATGAAAACAAAATTTTATATAAGAAATCCAATTTATCAAATGAATTCTTTCAAAAGGGGTTTAGCAACAAGTGACAAATAGATTGAAACCCCTCATCTACACCCACAGAATTAAGAACTGACAGAAAGAAGAGGCAAAAATATTATGTATGGTTTTAGAGACAAAGAATAGAATGAGCAAACATTTCATCCAAGATTTCTGGATGATTTCTGACGATTCCGCTGGGTACCAGCTGCCTTTGAACACAGATCTGCCTGATGGAGTCATAGGCACACTCCTTGAAAACCACAGAACACCCAAAATAACAATGACCAAGACAGAGATACCTAGAAGAAAACAAGCCAGAGCCACTGACAGTATCGTGCATTTGAATGACTACATGGTCATATAAGAAACTGTCAATCCAACCAAAAAAACAATCTCCACAAAATGCTTTCTGCATATTTACTTGTAAATCTAAAGGTAAAGAGACTAAGGGTCCTAGCAGCCAGGCATGAGCAATGAGACTTGGTATATGAATTTAAAAGTTTATTAGCCACAGGAAAAAAATGATTCCTTAAAATCAGTTTTCATTAAGTTCCCTGTAGAACAGTAAGCTTACAGAAAATTTCTTTCTCATGAACAGAAAATCACTATGCTTTTGGTCCAAGATATGTTGGGGTTTTTTTCCTTTCTTCTTCAGATGACAGACAGATGGATGTAGCGGAATCTATGAACGAGTGTACTTGCCCCAAATGTGCAACATAAATACAGAAGCGATGAACAGAAGACTCATAACCAATACTGGAACAGGGCCACTGGAAATAAGAAAAGGCAGGCTTAGTTTCAGTAATAATACATTAATATATTTGTAATATTAAAGACTGCCTAGGGGAAAAGGGAGGGGAAAGCACCTAAGATCCGTAGAAGAATATTATTTACAACATTTAAAAATATTCCAAAAATTATTACTGTGGATATTTTGAGGGTGACAGCATTGCGGTTATTTAGAAAGGAGGAATCCTTATCTTTTAATGAAACATACTAAAATATATACAAAAAAAGGATCTAATGTCTTAGAGACACTAGTCTCTTTAATTTCGTGCATTTGATATTCTCCATAATAAAAAGTAATTTAAAAAATTTCCCAAACTCTTTAAGTGCAAATGATCCAATACCAAACTATTATTTCAAATTAATAAAGACCACCTTCATCGTCTAACTACAATAAACTAGGCATAACAAAGATGAATATCCCATTATAAGTTATGAAGCATTTTCAAATATATGATCCCATATGATTAACAAGCTCAAGACACAGATGAAACAGATATTAATGTTATGAAAT